CAGAGATGCTCTCCGATGTGAACGAAGCGTGTTGCTCGGCGAGCTGTTCGCTGTGGCCGCTCATAATCTGTGGCTATTGTAAAAAGACACTATGTGTCAAGTGTTTCTATTCCGATTATCATTTCTGCAACGAAAATACGCAATGAACATATGGTCGTTCTATTGTCCGGAAGCCGGGAGGTCCAGTCGGCTTCCTTTTCCTCGGGCAGAGTGCTTTCCGAATTATCTGGCATCATTCTTGAATCTCTCCTTCGAAAAAACACCCTTATACGGTGAAAAACCCTGGAAATACACCTCGGATTTATTCTCTCCCTATCGAGCGTTGGCAGCTCGCATGGTGGGGGTTCTTCATCTCTCGGTGGGACTATTATTTGGGCAAAGTTTCAGAAAAATCGGCGTGGGGCAGTTCGTAATGTTCCCTTGTTAGATGTATTAGTTCCATTGATTCACTTATTCCAATCGACATTTCTCCCCGAACGGATCCGAGCCCTGTTACGGAAGGAACCGCCAAGAGATCATATCGACCACAGGAAGGTCTTTAATTGAGCTCCGTCGGTTGCTTAAGAGAAGTTGTTTTGATAGAAAGCAGAAGCTGTTACGCGACGCGCGAATAAGCGTCTGTGTTTTCCAAGTTCACTATTACGACGAAAATACAAGTTTCCGGTCTGAAAAATCTTCATCTTCAGTGTCACCAAGAAAGTTCGACAAGGTTCGCCCATCGTTGAGAGAGCCGTGGGAGTTCACTGTCATGAGCCTGAGGCGGGAGATATCAGCAGGACCGCGATCCAGGAAATGAAACAGCGAGTTGTCGCCGAGCCCAAGAAGAGCGGAAAACAGGTGTACCTATACGGAAGAGGCAACATCGTTTACTCAGCAATTGCGGGCAACGCATGATGACCATGAAATCGGTGCTGCGCTCCCGTCGTTTTCCAGCGCAGCCGCTATCTTGTACCGCGCGAGAGCTAGCGTGCGCCCGCCACTGCCCGTATCTCGAGCCACGATTGTTCTCGAAGACTCATGAACGAGAACCATAGACGGGCAGAACTTCCTTATAGTAGACGACGGTTCCGAAGACCGGGTCCTGGGTTTCTCTACAGTGCAACTCGTAATGGACCTGTGTTCGGCTCCGGTGGTGCATATGGACGGAACTTTTCGTGTCGTGCCGAAGCTGTTCCTCCAACTTTATAGTCTTCACGCCTTCTACAGAGGGGAAATTATCCCCATGGCATTCTTCTTACTTCCAAATAAGCAGATGGAAACCTATGGGAGAATGTTCTCCCTGCTCAAGAATTACGCTCATACGATCGGGGTGACATTCAATCCACCTGGGTTCCAACTCGACTTCGAGGTCGCTACATTCAAATCCATAGAGGAGTCCTTCCCGCTGGCCACCGTCAGAGGCTGCAGTTTACATTTCGCGCAGTGTCTCTGGCGCAAAGTCCAGGACCTGGCACTGAAACATTACTACAAGGATCCTAATGTGAAGAGACTCATGAGGTCTGTCGGCGCCCTCGCCCTGGTACCTTTGTCCCACGTCGATGACGCTTGGCTTGACATCGAAGCCGAAGCCCCATCCTCGGACCATCCAGCGCATGTAGCCGTAGAGTCATTCAAGGAGTACGTCATCGGCACATGGCTAGAGAACGCGGCCGTTTTTCCACGCAGTCTGTGTAATCATTTTCGCAACTTCGGAGCCAGGACTACCAATCATCTAGAGGGTTGGCACCAAGGCTTAAACCGGGGTATCGGTCGATCGCACGTTAACATATTCGAGATGATCGCCTACCTCCAGAAACTCGAACGCTGGATCCAAAACTCGGATGCTCCGCCTTAGTATGGGACTGAAGTCTCAAGCTCCAAAGAAGAAATACGTCGACGCGAATAATCGTCTCATTCGCCTCGTCGAACAATACGAAGCCGACGAAATTACATTGAGCGACTGCGTCCAGAAGAATGCTTTCGATCTCGAATTCTAATATAAGCGAAAAAAAATTATTGGGGCCTCTCATCTTGTACATACTTGTCCCAAGTGATGTAGAACATAGCACGAATAGATGATCTTCCCGAATAAACTTGTGAGAAACTCATGTTCGGAAGCGAATACACATTCCGTTCTTGTTCCCGAACGCGTCGCACAGTGGTCCAGAATCGGCAAAAATCAGGTTCGCCACCGAATGCTTCTGAAAGGATTTCTCAGCATATGTCTCGATGCCCGGGCTCCATTTTGGGTCTCGGAGGCTGCGCGTTCGGTGCGCGGAGCATTCCAATGGCGATATTTTCTGACGGGAATTCATACCAGAATATGGTTGTCCGAATGAAAGGAGAAACATTCCTTGAAGGGAAAAGGTAAGAAAAAGGAAGAAAAAAGAAAGAAGAAAGAAAGAAAAAGAAAGAAAAGAAGGAAAAAAAAGAGAAGTAGAAAAAAATTGAGCAAAACTTATATTCAGCGTCAATCCCCTGAAGGCTCAACGACTCTAACTCGATCTGAACATAGCGAAGGAACTATACATAGATCTGAGACTTGAATTGGAGACAGAGCTCGGTCTCGGTGCTTTCCCAGCATACAACAAGGTGTTGACTGGGAAGAAACAATGCTATCCGACCAATATCAAGGCAACAGAGAAGCACGCTTCCGTCCCGCTGAAGGATCTCCTAGAGCACTCTGTGAAGCGATTACTGAGCTCGCTACCGGAGCCAGAAAAAAGAAGTCCTAGGAAAGAGCTCTCGATCACAGGAAAAACTGTCCATGTACGTCAGTGTTCCTCCGAGTGAGATATGGCCCGCTTTCCGACCGCACACGAACTCTGCGGAGTGAGTAGCACCTTTGAAGTTCGAATTTGCCGCGCTCAGCTCAACCAACGGCGCTCTGCGCTCCGTCGAGTCAGCGGGGGAATCCTTGTTTACTTTCGATCCGATGTCCTAGGGTCATGATAGATACCAAAGGGCAGGGGTGTCAAACTCAGATTCGAAACGGGCCACTTTCGGATGCTGGGGCGGTTCGCGGGCCAAATCGGATTTCCACCTCCGATCGAGGAAAAAACACAGTTTGTGGGGCAGTATCGGACAACAAGATGCCTACAGTTTATTTGCTTTTTTGCAATTTCATACCGAACCTTTTTTAACTTAAGAAAACTATTGATATTTCTTCCGTCATTCTTTGGCTGTGGAGGACGTCTGACGCCTCATGACCTTCATCACCTCTGAATTCTCCGATTCTCATGAGGTCGTGGCGATGCGCGACGCTGCTACTAGATGAGACTGTCATCCGGGACCTCGTCGCAGATTTTATGTTCTTCATCCGTGAAAAGTATTGTTCACAAAGATATGTACTCCCAAAGACGGCCAGCATATTAATTGCATTCCCGTGGATTCTCGGATAGTTCACTGGGGACAAAGACTGGAAGAAACGGGAGATCTCTACCGTCGCGAACTTGTTCCGAAGATCGGTATTGTTTTGAAACTCGATTAGCTCCAATTGAATGCTATCCGCCGCCGCTGCGACATCCATGGTAAGAGGAGAAGAAAACAAGAGCATTCTGTCTTCGAGTACTCGGAAGTCTTCGAAACGCTTTTCGACCTCCGTTTCCAAGCTCTTCAGGATGAGCACGAAGGATTCGTAGCGAGACAATCCATGATCTCCCCTTTCAGCGAGGTGGGGGAAATGAGCGCAGCTTCCTCGGCTGATTGCACCCTGCCAGAGTCGCAGCTTCGCGGTGAAAGCTCGAATACAGTCGTACATTTCGCTTATCAGACGACCCTTCCCTTGTAATTTTAGGTTGAGCGCATTCAGATGTGATGTCAAGTCGACGAAGAAAGCGAAGTCCGTCAGCCAATCTTCGTCGCTGAGCTCATCGAATGAATTGTTTTTCCGCCGCAGAAAAGTTTTCACGTGGTCTAAAACATCCCAGAAACATTTGAGAGTCAGTCCGCAACTTAGCCAACGAACATTGGAGTAGTAAAGGATTTCACCGTTCCCTTCCCCGACCTGCTCGAGGAATGTTCGGAACTCGCGGTGATTCAAGCCGCGAGCTCTGATGAAGTTTGTGATTTTCGTCACTGTTTCGACAACATGACGCATCGGTATCACTTTACCACAGAGCGCCTCCTGATGTATGATACAATGAATCCTGGCCAGCGGTTGCGCGTGCGGGTGCTCGCGAGTAATATGCTCTTGCAAACGCGTAACGACTCCTTTTTTCCTCCCGACCATTGCTGGTGCACCGTCGCACAGTGGATCAAAATGAGTTTTTAGGTGGACAAAAGTCATCTCGAAATTTTCGTACCAGCTAATAGCTCGGCATGGAAAGCGATGTCTGGAAGTCGGAAAACCATAGAGATCTCGGAATTTCCTGCTGCTGCTACGGAATACGGAACTACCGAATCAGAAGTTGGAATTCGGGCATCATGTGACTCTTTTTCCTCTAATCAATTAAGTTCAAAAACGAAGCCACTCCACCCTTTCCGGCGGGGATGGAGGTTTGTTCCTAGCTCAGTTCTCGTCAGGATCTTAAGTTTGAACGAGATTCAGACCGGATCAGACATGTTTGAGGTTGCTTAGAAGGATTTGATATCTCTCATGGATTCTTCCGAATTTTGTCAAACTTCGCGATGCCAAAAGTATAGTGTCCCCTCGCGGCCTGGGAGCTGTCAAGTCTGGGACACTCATCAGACCTCCGGCAATCAGAAAAATAAATATTGTTACCCGGTTTTACCCGGTTACCGAATAATAATTCATTTTCGTCACCATGAAAATCTCCGTTCACGAATGAGAAGCACAAATCCTTGGAGACACAGAGACCATAAAACGCCGAATTCCTACGTGAAGGAGACAAAACGACTCTTGCGGAGTCTGTATCCGTGGCATGAAGCCACGCCGACAGTGCACAAAATCTTGGACCACAGTCCTCAAGTGATGAGATATTTACCGTCGCCCGTCGGTATGTTAACTGAGCAGGCGCAAGGAGCGCGGAATAAGGATTGCCGCCGCTTCAGGTCGCTCAACACAAGGGAGAACTCAAGGGAGAATACGAGAACCTCTGAAGAAAAAGTCATCGAGCGTTGACCCGGAAGTAGCAGCTTTACGGAGGGTTGACCCAGAGATTGAAGTCGGGTCCTCGGAAGGCAATGATGACACTTCAAGCACATAATGTACGGATGACACGGCGATTTCAAGCGACTCTTCGAGTGATTTCTGTTGTTGACCCTAAGAAATAACAGAATGAATCATGATCGCCTAAACCTTGATTGGTCAGTTTTTTCTTGTATATCCCGACTCGGAGACACTTCGCAAAGCGTTTCACGAAAAATAATTTTGTCCACCTAGAAACTCATTTTGATCCACTGTGCGTCGATAGCCTACACGGAATATACAGTCGAGTGCCGCTAACTTGTAAAATTCGGGAGTAGGGTTTGAATATTTTTTCGAACTTATAAGTTAGGGGAGGGTCAATCTAGACCGGATTAATTCGGACAGATGCGCGCTGATTATTATCTGCCCCCATGAATGCAGGCATAAAATTGACGATAGTGATCATGAACGGATATCTGCTTTAATTTATTCCATCTTCTCCATGCGGATTTACGTTCTTTAACTTATGGAGAGTCCTGACTATGTACCGTACTCAGTCTCTACTATCTACCGTTCCGAACAAAGTCAGTCCCCATCAATACAATTCTCGTCTTCAAAATACAACCAAACAACTAAGGCTTCGATTTCGAAAATATATCGAAGATCTGCCTGTCTTTTTTCCTGTAGAATGTCACAAATAACAAGATCTCGATACTGATGTAGAGCCATGCTGATCCCTGGAACAATATTTTGTCTCTGAGAGCAATGGTTGACCAATGTAGCCAAGGCTCGGAGAGCCTCTTGGCCGGTCACGAAACCACAACTGGGCTCCTCGAAGGGGGACTCGGGTTCTTCATCCGAGGTTTCGCTGAGGACCTCATTGTGTTCAGGCTCGAAATCATCGGAAGTCACAAGTTGCCGATCAGCCTGAACGAAGTCCCCGAAAGTCATGGAAATGGGGAAACAGTCTCGGATAATCATTCGATCCGGTTCGTCTGTGTCATCGCTGTTCTCACTTTGAGCGCTGGCATTCCGAACGTTCGGGAGGCGTTTCTTGAAGCAGTTGAATATGGTGGAAGTTTTGACATCATCCCATGACTCTCTCAGGAACCGGATACCCTGGAGCAAATTTATTTCCTTCACTTGACCGTCCTGTGCCATGGCCCAGTAATGTTCGACCAGCTTTTTTTTGTACAACTGTTTCACGTTACAAATGATGCCCTGGTCCATGGGCGGCGATTCTCGACATTTTTCCGCGCTTTACAACTTAGGGCGGCGAAATCGTTCCAAATTATGAGTTAGAGCAGTTTTATGACTCCAAACCTTCAGAGAGAAATTTCCCCATAGGGAAAAAGCCGCGGAGTAACGCTCTGGGACACGCTACGGAAATTAAGGATTCGGACACACGAAGGTGGGTCGATGTGGTTCATCCATCGCGTCTTCTTCTCTGAATCTCACCGTTTTCGAGTAAAGAAAAAAGAAGAAGTTGGGCCGATTTATTTCCCCATAGGGGAAAACTGAGTTCGGCACCAACCGGCACTCCGGGAAAAGTTTATAAGGAAGAAAACGATTCCTCCGAATCAGGTAATCGTTTTCGGGTCCGCTCCCGAAGTCTCTTGAGTTCATTATAAGCTTACCACGCATTCACATTAATGCAGCCGACGGCGTCGTGCTGAAGTGGACGACAAGAAACGTAAAAATGGAGCGTTTAGGTCAGAAAATGACTCTCTGCGACAGCGCACGCTTTGGCTCATCTGTTTGGTGTGATCCTCGCTGATCCTTCGATGATGAGGGACGAACGGGTGTCTCCGAATACTTCTTCCATAGGGAGCCGCATAATCCTCAAACAGGCACGACGAAGATTCGTTGCAAAAAGTGGAACCAGTGTGTTAAAACGAGGATGCGTCCTGCTCTGAGAGCCAAACTTGACTGACTGTTCATTGTTAACGTTGACAGACGATGTCGCAAGTTATGATTGAGATCACAAGTCTTATCACCTCCTTTCCTTTGGGTTGATTTATATAAGTCCTTTGATTATGGTATCTTTCATCTCCTTCGGTGAGATTCGCGCTGGATACACCTCTCTATCTATGCAAAATTTTGTGCTTTCTTAATTTTATCCCTCTGTCTCAGCTTCTCGGACTTATTGGTGTTGGTTCCTTCATCCGCTCGTCCGCTGTTTCCTCCGCGCTGTCATAGTCGCTAGGTTCTGAGTCCTCTTCAGCACTACCGTTTTTCTGGTTCAGCTCGACTAGTTCAGCTGAGTCTGGATATCCATCGCGACGTGTGGTGGTACAAGAGTACCGAAGATCCACTACGACGTTTCCCCCGAGGATGGATTTCAGCTTTCGACGAGAGTGGCAGCGCATCGTTCCTACCGAGATGCCGATCTCTGGCAGGGCTCTGCATATTCGCACTGCTACAGCTCATCCTTCATGAGCTTTTTCTCGAGTACTACGATAAAGCCATCATCTTCTTATCGGACCACTCGACCTACAACTGTTCGATCATCTCCTACAAGATCAACCACTACCGGTGAACCAGTGTTGACAAGCACGAGCACCTATAAACCTTCTTAGTGTTATTGTTACGACATCGACCGCACCGTCGAGTTCAACCAAGTCGACGCCGGTCGAGCCAGTTACTCCGTTATCTTCATCATCTTCCGTCTCTGGGTCGTTTTCTCCCACGACTGGAATTTCATCGATTTCGAGTACTGTTCACTCGATACCCAGCACTACAGTTTCGAATTCCTTTGAGATTGATTTCAGATGGCATTTATGCATCTGGCTAGAAGAGGTGCGATCATGTAAGCTGAGTCGAGACCAGAGCTGTGTAGTCGTCGACTATCACCATGCAATCGGGGATCGAATGACGGTGACAAGCTTCTTCCCAGCAACCTCCTATGCCAGTGTCGCCGATCTGATGAGAATAGCCAACGACTGCCGAGATCATACGATCTACAAGGCGGTCGAATAAATCTTCTTTCTCATTTAGGGAACAAAGCAAATGTGCGTTTATTGTGGGTATGATTAAAGGATGAATAAAATATAATCAGAGATCTTCGACGGTTTCTCTATAAGGCCGATCGTGGCGTTCAGATGTGGGAGATTCTGGCACGGTCTCATAATTGCGTCTGATGCGCTTCTAGAGTAGAAGCGCTTAAGAGCGTATGAGCCGAGCGACAGGATGATTAGGGAGGATCCGATGCAGTAGCCGATCAGCGGCTTTATCCACTTGCAGGGATCTGCTGGAGTCGGTGGCGCGGGAGGCGGAGTTGTTGTCGTTGGATGCTTGTGCTGGTTGTATGCATCCCAGATGCTCTCGCCGCCCTTGGGAGGTTTCCCAGGTCTGAGACAGACCGTGTCACGCGCTGCCAGGCGTAGGCAGCTGGCCTCGAATTCTAGACAATCGCAAGGAAAATTGTCGGGATTCGTTCCTGTGATGGTGCGAGACCGGTTCTCTTTCCTACAATCCGGCTCGCAGTCCACCGAGTAGTTGAAATAGCCGAGACCTGAGTCTACAAGGCTAATCACGAGAAGAGCTACCAGGAGTCTTGCCGCCATCGAATCCTGCAATTTCGAGCAGTGTATCAAGCTTTTCGAAATCCAAGTTCTTAGTCAGGAAATCTGCGGCGTTGACCTCACTGGGGCAGTATTCGACGTTGACCTCTCCATTAAGGTATATCTCTCTGACGCAGTGGAACCCCACCTCAACGTGTTTCGCGTTCTTAAATTGTTGCGAAGATTCGGTCAGTCGAATCGTGGCCTCGATGTCAATGAGTTGGGTCGGTTACACGAGGTAGTGGAGCTCGTTCAGAAGTTTGGCCGTCCAGATCGCCGCTTTACAAGCCTCTGAGGCAGCGATCAGCTCCGCGACCATGGAGCCGGTGGAAACACAGCTCTGGCGCTGGCTGCACCAGCCAATAGCTCCTCCTCCGAACTTGACCAGGGAGCAAGAAGTGCTCCGTCTGGTGGTCTCACACATAGCGAAATCTGCGTCGCTGTAGACCTTGAGTTCGCGTGAACCGCCACTAGAGTAAAAGGGGCCGTGAGTCTTGGTTCCACTCAAGTATCTCAAGATGTGCAACCCCTGTTTCCACAACTGTTTCGTTGGGCAGTCCAGGTACCTCGACAAGGAGCCTACTGCATAGGCTATATCTGCTCTTGACGCAATCGCGAGGCACATCAGTCCGCCGACGAGAGAGCGGTACGGCAGTGACACATCGATCTCGCCATCGTAGGCGGATTTTGCACTGCTGTCAAGCGGCGTCTTGGCCGGCTTGCAACTCGTCATACCAAATCTTTCCAACAAGTCGGCGATGTACTTCGACTGATGGATGTGGATAGTTCTGAGGTCTGGGGAGATGTCTATGTGCAACCCCAAGAAGAATTCCAGTGGTTTGAAAGTGATTTCAAGTGCCTTACCGAGTGCAATGAGGAATTCTTCAGCATCTTCTTTGCATGAGGCTCCCGTAATGCCATCATCGACATATGGAACTACCACAAGTCGTTTTGGTCCCTCGGAGAAGAACATGCACGGGTCCGAGGTGCTCTTGGTCAATCCCAGCTCCAGGAAGCATTCCTTGATTTTGCTGATTTCGGAGCTTTCTTCAATCCGTAACAAGCTTTGAGCAGCTTGCAAACTCTCCCAGATCCGCCCTCAGAACCTTCTGGCTGAGGATTGTAAGTTTCTTCGTTTAGATCTGAGTGCAAGAAGGCCGTAGCCACATCAAATTGATATAGGGTCGGTGCCTCCTGTGCTGAGACCGCTAGGAGCGTTCTGATACTTTCGAAACGAGCTACTGGGGCGTACAGTTCCTGGAAGTCCCTTCCAGCGACTTGATTGTAACCTTTGATCACAAAACGAGCTTTCCGGCGGATAATTACCCCATTCTTATCCTCCTTCGTTTTGAAGATCCATCTATTGCCTATGGTGCGTTTCCCCCTAGGAAGTTCCGTGAGTTCCCATACATTGTGATACTTCATCGAAGCAATCTCTTCGGACATGGTCTTCAGCCATTCCTCTCTGTAAGGTGAACTTCATTATTGCTGTTGGGCGCGTCCGCCACTTCATTTACACTAGTGTTCTGTTTCTCAACGCTAGATGGCGCTACATCTGCGTAGCCGGCTTGATATCTATCAGGCGCCTTCAGCTTGGATCGATCCCTAAGTCTGCGGCCTGCATGACTAGGTGGGTCATCTTCTTGCCTGTCGACAGCCGCTCCGGCGGCAGGTACTTCTCCGGAAGCACCGGCATTTAATCCTTCATCGGCTAATTCTACGGAGGGCTCAGGTGCGCGCTCCGCTTCTCCGTCAGCATCGGCAGTCAGTCCATCTCTGCTGCTGCTCTCCCCACTCTGCGCCGTCTCACTCGACTGATTCTCTGAATCCTCGTCCAGCGGGCTGGGCTTGGCTATGGTTGGGTATCAGATGCCCGACTCTCAGATGCCCGACTCTCAGATGCCCGACTCTAAGATGCCCGACTCTAAGATGCCCGACTCTCACATGCCGGACTCTCACATGCCCGACTCTAAGATGCCCGACTCTCTGATGCTCGGTTTTCAGATGCGTGGCTTCTCAAGCACCGAGCGCACGACGCCTTTATAGGTACTGACGCACGTGAATGCTTCGACGTGCAATGCAGGCTCCAGCAGCAGGAAGAGAAGGATCGAGCCACTATGCTGCTCCTACGAATGGGCCAGGACCCTCCAAGAAAGTGTAAAAAGTATTAGAAACTGAACAAGACGCTAATGAAATTTGTACAGCAATATGAATGCAACGAGATCACTCTAATCGAATACGTCCACTCTGTGGGCTATAATTTGCACAATTGACTCAGCAGCGGGAAGAGAAGGATCGAGCCACTATGCTGCTCCTACGAATGGGCCAGGACCCTCCAAGAAAGTGTAAAAAGTATTAGAAACTGAACAAGACGCTAATGAAATTTGTACAGCAATATGAATGCAACCAGTGTTGGGCAAATTCTCGCCGTGATTATGATTATGATTTTACCGTAATCATACGCCTGCGTATGATTTTGCCGTAATCCTACGCATGCGTATGATTATGACCGTAATCATACGCTCGCCTATGATTTTGACCGTAATCATACGCATGGGTATGATTATGACCGTAATCATACGCATGGGTATGATTATGACCGTAATCATACGCATGGGTATGATTATGACCGTAATCACACGGAAGCGTATGATTATGACCGTAATCACACGTGTGATTATGATTATAATCACAGACACGCGTATGATTATGATTATAATCACAACCACACGTATGATTATGACTATAATCACAGACATGCGTATGATTACGGTGATTTGCATCATGACCTTCATCGATAATCAGGGAATCATGACTCTCACATGCCATCTGTAGGTTATTGGGTCTTATTGTGGTCAAGACGATAGTCACAATCGCAGAAACTACCGTTTACGGAACCGTAATCACACGCGTGCGTATGATTTTGGTGATTTTCGAGATAGCGCATCCCAGACTCCAATCAGAACGACGATGGATCTGATGGAAACCACCCGATGTCTCAGACTCTCGGGGCTGCGATAGCACACTGATGCTCGCTCTTGCAATGCGAGTAATTCATCGACAACCCTCCGGCGACTTTCTCGCGTCGTGTCTCTCTGTTTCTTCTTTTCGACTAGAAAAACAGTGACAAACATTGGCGTCGATGCGTCGACAAACTGAGCCAGTGTCGAGAGCTAAAAGACAGATTCGGATTGATTCCTCCTTAGAAACTGGCTCCGTGAATTTTGTTTTCGTTTGAGAACGGCGCCTCCGATGGAAAACGATCCCGTCTCGCCCGGAAAGCTTCGAGCAGCGCGCCGAGCTCACAAACATCCAGTTCGTCGCTTGAATACGGAGTGTCAACACGTGTGATCTCAGTCTCGAGAAGGATCATGTCCAATTATAGTGAGTCCGACCCTATGGATAAGCTGAGACTCTCGGTCAAGCACGGTGTCCAGAGCCCGTACTTCCGTCCGCTCTTGAGCGACCCCCGAGCTCTCGATGACGAAATTCGTGGAACAGACCGGGTCAGTGCTGTGTGCCTGAAGTGTCCTCCAGGCACAGCCAAATCAAATGTGAAAGTTTCTAAACACCGTGTATCGAATCTGATATCTCATTTGAGGAAACATCACTCATCGGGCATGGCAACGGCCTTCATCAAATGGCTCGATGCAAAAAGGCAGTCTTTTGTGGACAATAATCCTCAACGGATCGCCGAAACTCGCGTCAATCGATCTGCAGGCAAGAAGCAAATACTTCTCGATCAGGCGCTCGAAGACTTCATCACGGATACGATGGTGCCTCTCCGAGTCGTGGAACGGGACTCATTCAAGAAACTTCTAGATACCCTCGATTTCAAACGGAATGGCTTCAAGCTGATGAGCAGACGTACCCTGGGCCGAAGGCTCGGAAAAGCTCTCGCCGAGTATCAGAAGCACTTACGGAATCTCTTAGCGGAGCCCACATGGGTCTCGACGACGGCAGACGTTTGGTCGGGCGGCCAGCGGTCTTTTTTGGGCATGACTGTCCATTGGATAGACGCGCAGTACAACCGGCGAACGGCCCCACTGGCTTGTCAGCGGTTCCCCGGATCACAAACATATGACAGGGTCGCGAGTCTCGTCAATGAAATTCACAGGAGATTCTGCCTGTCGCCTTCAAAAGTCACCGCTTGTGTCACGGATAACGGATCCAACTTCGTTAAGGCTTTCGTCGAGTTCGGTGTACTTGTTTCCAATTTGGATGAGCTGGATGCTGAACGCGATGAGACCAACGAGCAGGAAAACTCAGACGACGACGGGACGGATCAAAGCCGAGCTGAAGATGATTACCAGAATCGAGAGGTTTGTTGAAATTCGAGATCTTGTCGCAAAACCAGGGAACATTCCATGCTGCATTCATGATAGTCCCTCAGTCCTCCGAACGTCCCCATTATTCTCCCGGATGAGAACTGTGTCGTGGGACACGGACTTGCCTAACGTGGAGTTTCCGTTATTTTTAGTCCGAGTACGACAGCAGCTGCTATGATGAAGAGGAGTACGCGAGCTCACAAGAAGGACATACGACAGGAGACACTGAAGATGAGGATCAAGAGAACGAGCAGGAAACAGGCGATCAATTGGACACCGGATCGTGGGTTAGCCTGGACGAATCGACTGTGCTGACCCTGCCTGCGCACGCCCGTTGCGCAGCCCATACATTAAGCCTCTGTGCGACGAGTGATGTGAAGAAAGTTTTCAATTCTGATGCAGCATTGAAACTTCGCCACGAATTGGTCATCGCAAGATGCAATATTTTGTGGAATATGGCTCGTCGACCAAAAACAGCAGAGATCATCAAAAATATGACGGGCAGGAGCCTTCCTCGCCCGTGTGCTACTCGCTGGAACAGTTTATATGATTCTCTTCTCGCCCTGCTGAAATTGAGGTATGATCTGCCTCGATTGATGGCTGCTCTGCAGCGGGAGAGTCTCTTTTCTGATGAAGATTTCGCCTACATTGAGGAATATATCAAGTGTTCGAAGCCCGTTGCCGTGGGCCTGGATAAGCTGCAAGCTGAGAAAACAGGATTCTACGGTGCGTTGGTTCCAACGCTGCACATGATTAGAAGGCAACTATCAGACGTCGCTAGGGCTCCGTTACGATTCTGCAAACCATTGCTTGACGGATTGATCCAAAGCGTGGAGAAGCGCTTCAAAAATATTCTCGACTGCCGAACAGTCGAAGGCCAGAAGAGCGCTATCGCGGCACTTTCGATGCCACTCTTCAAGAATGCGTGGTGCAGGTGTATCACACCGGAGGATCAGAGCTACATTCTCGGTAGGTTCAGAGAGCTGATTCGTGCTCAGATTGGGACGGAGTCGTCAGAAACTGAGCCCGAGCCTATGGAGACGGATGATTACTACGACTTCGGGGGTGAGGCCACGAGCTCGAGTGCGACATTGATGCAGGTCGACAGCGCCGAAGTCGCAATGCAGAACTATCTGGGGGATGCTCGCACAGCCCTAGTCATGCTCGAAAAACATCCGCTTATAGCGCCGATCTTCCGCCAATATAACACTCAGCCTCCGTCTAGCGCGGAGGTTGAGCGGTTGTTTTCATTGGCCACAATGATTAATGCTCCTCGAGCCAACCGTCTTAGTGATGCGCGCTTCGAGCAAAGAGTTGTATTGCGCAAAGCAATGCCTGTTTTCGATTTCTAACCTTGATCGTCAGACGAGAATTCCCCTCTCAGCTTATTATCTCAAGATGTCTTTTCTCTGATGACGAATAAAAATCTTGATGGAAAGCATTCTCATTTTGTTCCCTTCGTTCAAAAATCCTTCTGCTGGGCAGACGGCATGAGGGGGTCCGGGGTCCACACCTTGTGGTCCTCCGGGGGCTTGCCAAGTTTTAGACATCGGATGGCCGTCTCACCCCTGTGACTACGAATAAGCATGATCATGTTCTCGCTAATTTGCATCGTTATAGCCACACTTAGTGCCAAAACGTCAGTTTCTGCATGTGAGGAATGTAACTCCCCGTTGAGAGATGAAAATCGCCGTGAAAATCACCGTAATCATACGCTTCCGTGTGATTACGGTCATAATCATACCCATGCGTATGATTACGGTCATAATCATACGTGTGATTATGATTGTAATCATACGCATACGTGTGATTATGATTGTAATCATACGCTCCCGTGTGATTATGGCCGTAATCA